TAATTATACAATTTATTGGCTGGTGTGCAGGGCTTCACACTCTCAGAGCTAGCCATCAAGTAACTATCAAAACACATATATCTTCGTTTTCACTTCAGTTATATTTATGACAAAGGATTTTAAATGTAGCCTATATTTCTACCTTTCTGATGACATAAATACTTTCGTTAATTACAATATCTAGATCAAACTAACATTGATTTTCAAAAGGTTGTATGTTTTCCATCAATGGAGAGCATCAGCCAAGAAGCCTTCTTTAAAATATGAATATCTTTCCTCACCCAATAAGATCTAATCTCTGAATAAAACGCAAAAAACGACTTGATTGTAACCTATCCACCGCTGCCCATTGGATGGGGGAGAGGGGGTTATGTGTAGGATAAACATATCAATTGTGACACTAGCCCTCCATATATGTCAGTTGCTTCAATTATAAACTGTACTTGAGGTCGGTCTCGAGCCCATTGTTGATGTGACAATGTGCATTGACTTTTGTAACTAGCTTATGAAGATTATAACTTGCTTGGCTATATGAATTGTGGGGCTCAGTCCCTGAGCCCATTATGTGCCTCTGTAACACTCCACTATCGCCCATAGGATGAGTATGGGGTGCATAATAAATGAACTAAACTAAGCTCTGCCTTTTTGATAACATATACAATTATAAGCTCTATTTGTGAATCTCAATTAATTAAACAATATATCACAGAGCCTGTAGGGTTCGGTGAGATGAGCGAAGAGACATGGGAGATTTTACATAAGTACAGTACATGGTAGTTTAAGTAGCGAACGCATGTCAACGAATAACGAATATATATTTATTTATTTATTTTTTTTTGTAATATAACAAAACTATTGTCTTATGAAGTCGATTTAACTTCCAAACATATATTTTTAATAAATGTTAAATGTTTTCTGGCTAGTTATGTTAGATTTTATTAAAAATATGTATTCTACTTGTTAACATTATAATTTAAATTTGTGATAATTTGTGCAGAGAAGTGCGACAACTGGATATGCCAACAAACACTTTCCAAACAACGATATATCTTGGATAAGTCGCTCCACAACATTGACGCTTGGACCGTCGACTTCCTTTGATGCTACTTATTTCATAATTAAATTACATTAGTTTGGAGTAAATATATGTTTTCTCATGTTCTGCATTCAACACCCACATTATAGTGAGTAAATATACCATATTACTTCATTACTTAAATAATGCTAGGAGGGTTTGAGTAGCTTTGGGTCTTTAGTGGACAGAATCTCCAATAGATGGGGCGAGAGTCGCCCCATCTCTCTCGCCCGAGCAAGAGTCGAAACTTAATTTAAAATTGAAATATCTTTGTTCTCGAACATGATATATTTCATTTGGTGCAATCATAATAATGTTCATATCTCGGTCTTTCTGGAGGCATATAAGATTTTAGGCTTTATTAGCGTATCTTTGTTAATTATACAATATATCGGCAAGTGCGTAGGCGTCTGCACTCCATGCCCGACAAGCTACTGAGCGCTACTATAAAAACATATGTATCTTCACTTGAGCTATAAATATGTCTATTGTAATGTATTGAAAATGAAGCTCTTATTTCTATCTTGCTTAAGACATATAAAACATTTGTGTTTATTAACGAATTTACGTGAAATAAACATTGATCTGAGAGAGTTGCTCTGTCGTTCAGTCTGTACGGGGTGGGAGCTCCGTAATTTTTAAAATACATGTATCTTCATTAGAACTTTAAATATGTCTATTATAAAGTGTTTAAAGTGAAGCTTATATGTCTGCCTTTCTTGAGACATATAAAACATATATGTTTATTAACGAAATCACGTGAAATAAACATTGTTCTGAGAGAGAGCAAATCATCAAATGCAATTCAGCTACAGAAAGACAACATTAACATCAGTAATAAAAATGATGGCAAGCTTCTTGGCCTATTCTTAGACAAGAGACTCAACTTCAGCACCCACATTCAACACATAACTAAGAAAGTCTCTAAAACAGTTGGTATACTCTCCAAAATCAGATATTATGTTCCTAACTCTGCTCTCCTCTCACTATATTATGCATTAATCTATCCCTATCTTAATTATGGTATCTGTGCATGGGGGTCTACCACTGCAAACCACCTTAAGCCCATCATCACACAGCAAAAATTTGCTATCAAAATAATAACTAACTCTGCTTTCAGACAACACTCAGCTCTCTTGTTTAAATCCCTAAACTTGCTAAATTTTAACTCCCTCCACACATTCTCTTGTGTCAACTACACCTACAAAACCCTGTTCTTAAATGCAGACCATGCTCTGAAACTCTCCCTGGACAGATGTAATAGGACCCATTATCACCACACCAGAAATAAATATCTCTTTGATATCCCCAGGGTCAAACTTAATCTGTGTAAACACTCTATGCAAATTAAGGGACCTATTCTATGGAACTCACTCCCTAGTGAATTGAAAAACGGTAAAACTTTTGCCTTATTTAAAAGCAAAACCAAAAAGTACCTAATTTCATCTTCTTAGTTTCCTACACTGAGCTTTAAATTTGCTCTGTACCTAGTGTTACCCAATCTCCTAATTTTTATGTAGTATCAAACAACCTTATCAGTGTGTTCATTGCTGTCTTCTTTTATGTGCTAGCCATATGCTGTATTGTGACTACCAATTTTTGTCAACTACCATTCAAGCTGTCATTGCAATCAATCTTATATTGTTTTTGCTGTATTGTGCCTACCAATTTTTGTCAACTACCATTCAAGCTGTCATTGCAATCAATCTTAGCTACCTATGTGCTTTAATATACTGTACCTACAATTTTCTCTCATCTTATTTTTTTCATTCCACGTAACTGTTATCATTTTTTTGTCTATAAATTTTGCAAGTATTTACCTTCTTAAAATTTTCTTAGATTTATTTATTTATTTATTTATGCATATACAAGAATGTACATAAGGAATGTGAGGATACAAATATAGTAATTGCAGTCTTGTAAAGCCACTAGCACGCGCAGCGTTTCGGGCAGGTCCTTAATCTAAGAAAATTTTAAGGAGGTAAATACTTGCAAAATTTATAGACAAAAAAATGATAACAGTTACATGATATGAAAAAAAAAGATGAGAGAAAATTGTAGGTACAGTATATTAAAGCACATAGGTAGCTAAGATTGATTGCAATGACAGCTTGAATTGTAGTTGACAAAAATTGGTAGGCACAATACAGCAGAAACAATATAAGATTGATTGCAATGGCAGCTTGAATGGTAGTTGACAAAAATTGGTAGGCACAATACAGCAGAAACAGTATAAGATTGATTGCAATGACAGCTTGAATGGTAGTTGACAAAAATTGGTAGTCACAGTACAGCATATGGCTAGCACATAAAAGAAGACAGCAATGAACACAATGATAAGGTTGTTTGATATTACAGATTAAGGACCTGTCCGAAACGCTGCGCGTACTAGTGGCTTTACAAGACTGTAATTACCATATTATGTATCCTCACATTCCCAATGTACATTCTTGTATATGCATAAATAAATAAATAAATAAATAAAGAGTTGCTCGGTCGATCGATCTGTCCGAGGTCGGAGCTCGGCTATTATAAAAATACACGTATCTTCGCTTTAAATTTAAATATACCCATGGTAAGGTATTTAGAATGAAGCTTATATTTCTATCTTTCTTGTGACATATAAAACTTTTACGTTTATTAAGAAATCTGCGTGAAATGGGCATGGTTCTGAGATGAATGCTGCGGTTTTCGAGCTCGACGCGCGGCAATGGACGCCATACACATCCAGTGGGTGTTATTGGACCCCATACCCATTCTATGGGTGGTTGGAGCCCCATACTCATTCTATGGGTGGTTGGATCCCCATACCCATTCTGTGGGTTGTAGTGGACGCCATACTCATCCTGTGGGTGGTATTGGATCCCATACCCTTCCTGTGGGTGGATGTGGTCCCCATACTCATCCTGTGGGTGGATGTGACCCTCATACCCATCCTGTGGGTGGTATTGGACCCCTTACCCACCTAACAGGTGGTAGTGGACAATATACCCATCCTAGCTATAGTTGGTATAGTAGACACAATACCATCCTGTTTGCAGTAGTTTACCCCATAGACATTCCAACGTAACATCGTTTTCTGTTAGCGTTCCTACAAGACATCCTTTAAAGATTTGTAAAGCCCAAACTATGGTATATAACATTAATTGGTGAAGGACTGTTATTCTATGTAATAATTTTTAGTGCTTATTATAATTTACTAAGAACAACTAATATTTCTCAAAACAAAACTACGAGCCTTCAATAGGAAGTAGCTGATCTGTAATATTCTAAGAGCATGGACAATAGTAGGTAAATTTCACAACCCATGTGGGTCCTGAAAACTACAATTTTCCTTATAATTGAACCAATCACGACTATTCTGCTATCTAGGTTGACGGACGGGTACTGTGAGACGTAATTTGGTACGTGAGGAATCGTTTGGGGGTTGGAAAAACAGTAACTGGGAATATATCACATATTTACTAATTCATATTCAACATATTGACTTTAAGCATTAAGTCATATATGTGCTGTCTTGTGTGAGAACGGGTTGAAATATTACACACACAGTACACATGCACTAAATACACATACACTACATATGCACTACATACACACTACATATACACTACACATACACTACATATACACTACACACACACACCACACGTACACTACTCATACACTACAGGTACACTAAACATACACTACACGTACACTACACGATAAGATTAAATACTCCCACTTGGTGACACTGTCTCTACAGTGTTGTATCACAGATCATGATAATTTAGTTAGGTTGGATAGACAAGGCAAGACGGAGAAGAGCACCAGGAAGCGTTAGTGTTACCACACGAGAACATTACAGTGAAATAGTGACACAAGAGCAGTACAGTGAAATAGTGACACAAGTGCAGTACAGTGCAATAGTGACACAAGAGCATTACAGTGCAATAGTGACACAAGAGCAGTACTGTGCAATAGTGACACAAGAGCAGTACTGTGCAATAGTGACACAAGAGCAGTACTGTGCAATAGTGACACAAGAGCAGTACTGTGCAATAGTGACACAAGAGCAGTACTGTGCAATAGTGACACAAGAGCAGTACTGTGCAATAGTGACACAAGAGCAGTACTGTGCAATAGTGACACAAGAGCAGTACTGTGCAATAGTGACACAAGAGCAGTACTGTGCAATAGTGACACAAGAGCAGTACTGTGCAATAGTGACACAAGAGCAGTACTGTGCAATAGTGACACAAGAGCAGTACTGTGCAATAGTGACACAAGAGCAGTACTGTGCAATAGTGACACAAGAGCAGTACTGTGCAATAGTGACACAAGAGCAGTACTGTGCAATAGTGACACAAGAGCAGTACTGTGCAATAGTGACACAAGAGCAGTACTGTGCAATAGTGACACAAGAGCAGTACTGTGCAATAGTGACACAAGAGCAGTACTGTGCAATAGTGACACAAGAGCAGTACTGTGCAATAGTGACACAAGAGCAGTACTGTGCAATAGTGACACAAGAGCAGTACTGTGCAATAGTGACACAAGAGCAGTACTGTGCAATAGTGACACAAGAGCAGTACTGTGCAATAGTCACTTGGGAGCAGTTCAGCGCAATAGTAACATTACATGCAGTATAGTGAAATATGCTTATGTTACATTTGAACTCAACACCAAAATTGTTGACATAAACCAGAGAGTTTACGAAATAGAGCCTTGAGCCGCCACTAGTGACATCTATAGAGCCTTGAGCCGCCACTAGTGACATCTATAGAGCCTTGAGCCGCCACTAGTGACATCTATAGAGCCTTGAGCCGCCACTAGTGACATCTATAGAGCCTTGAGCCGCCACTAGTGACATCTATAGAGCCTTGAGCCGCCACTAGTGACATCTATAGAGCCTTGAGCCGCCACTAGTGACATCTATAGAGCCTTGAGCCGCCACTAGTGACATCTATAGAGCCTTGAGCCGCCACTAGTGACATCTATAGATCCTTGAGCCGCCACTAGTGACAGCTATAGAGCCTTGAGCCGCCACTAGTGACATCTATAGAGCCTTGAGCCGCCACTAGTGACATCTATAGAGCCTTGAGCCGCCACTAGTGACATCTATAGATCCTTGAGCCGCCACTAGTGACATCTATAGAGCCTTGAGCCGCCACTAGTGACATCTATAGAGCCTTGAGCCGCCACTAGTGACATCTATAGAGCCTTGAGCCGCCACTAGTGACATCTATAGAGCCTTGAGCCGCCACTAGTGACATCTATAGAGCCTTGAGCCGCCACTAGTGACATCTATAGAGCCTTGAGCCGCCACTAGTGACATCTATAGAGCCTTGAGCCGCCACTAGTGACATCTATAGAGCCTTGAGCCGCCACTAGTGACATCTATAGAGCCTTGAGCCGCCACTAGTGACATCTATAGAGCCTTGAGCCGCCACTAGTGACATCTATAGATCCTTGAGCCGCCACTAGTGACATCTATAGAGCCTTGAGCCGCCACTAGTGACATCTATTGAGCCTTGAGCCGCCACTAGTGACATCTATTGAGCCTTGAGCCGCCAATAGTGACATCTATAGAGCCTTGAGCCGCCACTAGTGACATCTATAGAGCCTTGAGCCGCCACTAGTGACATCTATAGAGCCTTGAGCCGCCACTAGTGACATCTATAGAGCCTTGAGCCGCCACTAGTGACATCTATAGAGCCTTGAGCCGCCACTAGTGACATCTATAGAGCCTTGAGCCGCCGCTAGTGACATCTATAGAGCCTTGAACCGCCACTAGTGACATCTATAGAGCCTTGAGCCAACAACAGTGACATCTATCGAGCCTTGAGCCACTACTAGTGACATCTATAGAGCCTTGAGCCGCCACTAGTGACATCTATAGAGTCTTGAGCTGCCACTAGTGACATCTATAGAGTCTTGAGCTGCCACTAGTGACATCTATAGAGCCTTTAGCCGTACTAGTGACATCTATAGAGCCTTGAGCCGCCACTAGTGACATCTCTAGAGCCTTGAGCCGCCACTAGTGACATCTATAGAGCCTTGAGCCGCCACTAGTGACATCTATAGACCCTTGAGCCGCCGCTAGTGACACCTATAGAGCCTTGAGCGGCCACTAGTGACATCTATAGAGCCTTGAGCCAACAACAGTGACATCTATCGAGCCTTGAGCCACTACTAGTGACATCTATAGAGCCTTGAGCCGCCACTAGTGACATCTATAGAGTCTTGAGCTGCCACTAGTGACATCTATAGAGCCTTTAGCCGTACTAGTGACATCTATAGAGCCTTGAGCCGCCACTAGTGACATCTCTAGAGCCTTGAGCCGCCACTAGTGACATCTATAGAGCCTTGAGCCGCCACTAGTGACATCTATAGAGCCTTGAGCCGCCGCTAGTGACATCTATAGAGCCTTGAGCGGACACTAGTGACATCTATAGAGCCTTGAGCCAACAACAGTGACATCTATCGAGCCTTGAGCCACTACTAGTGACATCTATAGAGCCTTGAGCCGCCACTAGTGACATCTATAGAGCCTTGAGCCACCACTAGTGACATCTATTGAGCCTTGAGCCGCCACTAGTGACATCTATAGAGCCTTGAGCCGCCACTAGTGACATCTATAGAGCCTTGAACCGCCACTATTGACATCTATAGAGCCTTGAGCCGCCACTAGTGACATCTATAGAGCCTTGAGCCGCCACTAGTGACATCTATAGAGCCGTGAGCTGCCACTAGTGACATCTATAGAGCCTTGAGCGGCCACTAGTGACATCTAAAGAGCCTTGAGCCGCCACTATTGACTTCTATTGATAATTACTACTATAGTGTAGTGATTATCTCCTGGGGTATAGTGTGGGGATTATCTCCTGTGGTACAGTGTGGGGATTATATCCTGTGGTACAGTGTGGGGATTATCTCCTGGGGTATAGTGTGGGGATTATCTCCTGGGGTACAGTGTGGGGATTATCTCATGGGATATAGTGTTGGGATTATCTCCTGGGGTACAGTGTGGGGATTATCTCCTGGGGTATAGTGTGGGGATTATCTCCTGGGGTATAGTGTTTGGATTATCTCTTGGGGTATAGTGTGGGGATTATCTCCTGGGGTATAGTGTGGGGATTATCTCCTGGGGTACAGTGTGGGGATTATCTCCTTGGGTATAGTGTGGGGATTATCTCCTGGGGTATAGTGTGGGGATTATCTCCTGGGGTATAGTGTGGGGATTATCTCCTGTGGTACAGTGTGGGGATTATCTCCTGGGGTATAGTGTGGGGATTATCTCCTGGGGTACAGTGTGGGGATTATCTCCTAGGGTAGAGTGTGGGGATTATCTCCTGGGGCATAGTGTGGGGATTATCTCCTGGGATATAGTGTGGGGATTATCTCCTGGGGTACAGTGTTGGGATTATCTCCTGGGGTACAGTGTGGGGATTATCTCCTGGGGTACAGTGTGGGGATTATCTCCTGGGGTACAGTGTGGGATTATCTCCTGTGGTACAGTGTGGGGATTATCTCCTGGGGTACAGTGTGGGGATTATCTCCTGGGGAACAGTGTGGGGATTATCTCCTGGGGTATAGTGTGGGGATTATCTTCGGGGTATAGTGTGGGGATTATCTCCTGGGGTACAGTGTGGGGATTATCTCCTGGGGAACAGTGTGGGGATTATCTCCTGGGGTATAGTGTCGGGATTATCTCCTGGGGTACAGTGTGGGGATTATCTCCTGGGGAACAGTGTGGGGATTATCTCTTAGGGGTACAGTGTGGGGATTATCTCCTGGGGAACAGTGTGGGGATTATCTCCTGGGGTATAATGTGGGGATTATCTCCTGGGGTACAGTGTGGGGATTATCTCCTGGGGAACAGTGTGGGGATTATCTCTTAGGGGTACAGTGTGGGGATTATCTCCTGGGGAACAGTGTAAGGATTATCTCCTGGGGTACAGTGTGAGGATTATCTCCTGGGGTACAGTGTGGGGATTATCTCCTGGGGAACAGTGTGGGGATTATCTCCTGGGGAACAGTGTGAGGATTATCTCCTGGGGTACAGTGTGAGGATTATCTCCTGGGGTACAGTGTGGGGATTATCTCCTGGGGAACAGTGTGGGGATTATCTCCTGGGGAACAGTGTGGGGATTATCTCCTGGGGAACAGTGTGGGGATTATCTCCTGGGGTACAGTGTGGGGATTATCTCCTGGGGTACAGTGTGGGGATTATCTCGTGTGGTACAGTGTGGGGATTATCTCCTGGGGAACAGTTTGGGGATTTTCTCTTAGGGGTACAGTGTGGGGATTATCTCCTGGGGTACAGTGTGGGGATTATATCCTGGGGAACAGTGTGGGGATTATCTCTTAGGGGTACAGTGTGGGGATTATCTCCTTTGGTACAGTGTGGGGATTATCTCCTTTGGTACAGTGTGGGGATTATCTACTAGGGAACAGTGTGGGGATTTTCTCTTAGGGGTACAGTGTGGGGATTATCTCCTGGGGTACAGTGTGGGGATTATCTCCTTTGGTACAGTGTGGTGATTATCTCCTTTGGTACAATGTGGGGATTATCTCCTGGGGTACAGTGTGGGGATTATCTCCTTTGGTACAGTGTGGGGATTATCTCCTGGGGAACAGTGTGGGGATTATCTCCTGGGGTACAGTGTGGGGATTATCTCCTGGGGAACAGTGTGGGGATTATCTCTTAGGGGTACAGTGTGGGGATTATCTCCTTTGGTACAGTGTGGGGATTATCTCCTGCGGAACAGTGTGGGGATTATCTCCTGAGGAAGAGTGTGGGGATTATCTCCTGGGGAACAGTGTGGGGATTATCTCCTTTGGTACAGTGTGGGGATTATCTCCTTTGGTACAGTGTGGGGATTATCTCCTGGGGTACAGTGAGGGGATTATCCCCTTTGGTATAGTGTGGGGATTATCTCCTGGGGTATAGTGTGGGGATTATCTCCTGGGGTATAGTGTGGGGATTATCTCCTGGGGTACAGTGTGGGGATTATCTCCTGTGGCACAGTGTGGGGATTATCTCCTGTGGTACAGTGTGGGGATTATCTCCTGGGGTACAGTGTGGGGATAATCTCCTGGGGTAAAGTGTGGGGATTATCTCCTGCGGAACAGTGTGGGGATTATCTTCTGGGGTATAGTGTGGGGATTATCTCCTGGGGTATAGTGTGGGGATTATCTTCTGGGGAATAGTGTGGGGATTATCTCCTGGGGTATAGTGTGGGGATTATCTCCTGGGGTACAGTGTGGGGATTATCTCCTTGGGAACAATGTGGGGATTATCTCCTGGGGTATAGTGTGGGGATTATCTTCTGGGGTATAGTGTGGGGATTATCTCCTAGGGTACAGTGTGGGGATTATCTCCTGTGGTACAGTGGGGGGATTATCTCCTGGGGTATAGTGTGGGGATTATCTCCTGGGGTACAGTGTGGGGATTATCTCCTAGGGTATAGTGTGGGGATTATCTCCTGGGGTATAGTGTGGGGATTATCTCCTGGGATATAGTGTGGGGATTATCTCCTGGGGTACAGTGTGGGGATTGTCTCCTGGGGTACAGTGTGGGGATTATCTCCTGGGGTACAGTGTGGGGATTATCTCCTGGGGAACAGTGTGGGGATTATCTCCTGGGGTATAGTGTGGGGATTATCTCCAGGGTATAGTGTGGGGATTATCTCCTGGGGTACAGTGTGGGGATTATCTCCTGGGGAACAGTGTGGGGATTATCTCCTGGGGTATAGTGTGGGGATTATCTCCTGG